AGAAAACAGCCAAGCTCAGAGAGTCCCAAGGGCCCCTCTGTTTCTTCTACCAAAAATGAATGTGAGGAGAGGAAGAGCCCCTCCAAGCATATCCTGGCTGGGAGGTCTCCAAAGAAAGAGAGGCTGGGCAGGGGGCTTCTTAGACCGCCGTCCCTCCTCAACAGACAGGAAGAAACAGGCAAACGGCAGGCGGAGTGGGCAACTCACCCGTAATGGCTTCCTCGCAGATGTAGCCACAGTCTCCCGGGCAGCATTTCTGAGTGCCTGGGCACTGGTCATCCCTGGCGCAGGTGGAGCAGGATGCGTTCCTCTGGCAGGCACTGCAGTCCTGGGTGTCAAAGACGTCTCCCAAGGGGGGCGTGTTGTAGCAGTAGCCCTCCTTATCTGTCAAGAACGAAGGAGAAGTGAAGCCCAGGGAGAGGACAACGGGGAGGAGGGGGCTCTATTTGGGGGAGGAAAGACTCAGAGGGCTAATTTGGAAGTGCTTTGGCCAGAAAACTCTCACTTTCATCTAGATTTCTCCAAGTCCTCTGGTCAATGAGAAGACAGATCCAGTCGATCCAGAAGTCAGTTGAGTAGGGATGGGTGCATTGGTGGATTGATGGACTGATGGACTGATGGGTTGATGGGTTGATGGGTTGATGGATTGATGGATTGATGGGTTGATGGGTTGATGGATTGATGGATTGATGGGTTGATGGATTAATGGGTTGATGGGTTAATGGGTTGATGGATTGATGGGTCAATGGATTATGGGTTGATGGATTAATGGGTTGATGAATTGATGGGTTGATTGATGGATGGATTAATGGGTTGATGGTTTGATCAATTGATGGATTGATGGGTTGATGGATTGATGGGTCAAAAGATTATGGGTTGATGGATTAATGGGTTGATGAATTGACGGGTTGATGGATTGAAGGGTTGATGGACTGATGGATTGATGGATTGATGATTCATTTATCATTTGGTGACTGAACGTATAGGTGGGTGGGTGGATGTTGTACCATCAAGTCTTTGTCAATTGTTAGCAGTTACACAATTCGCTGAATACGGAGCCTGTCCTAAACTTTGATATAGGCACCTGAATATTTGGGTGAAAGCTCCTGGGGGTCTCTAGAAAGGTTCTTGGAGGTCCTGGGTTTCAACCCCCCTCCCCCAAGTCTTAAGATACCTCATAGGACCGGTGGGAAAGAATAAAGAAGGGAGGGAAGGAGGGGAACCTCCCACTCTTGAACCCCAGAAGAAGGTCAGGATTCCACAGGGCAACCAGAGTTGCTGTATGAGGAAGATGGGCAGTTTCTAAATATATTATATAAAATCTCTCTTTCTCTCTCTCTCTCTCTCTCTCTCTCTCTCTCTCTCTCT